TAGTAGTGTTTTGTAGTTTTCTTTGTATAGGTCTTTTGTTTCTCTAGTTAGATTTATTCCTAAGTATTTCATCTTTTGGGTGGCTATTGTAAACAGTATTGTTTTCCTAATTTCCATTTCAGAGTTGCCTTAGTATATTGGAATCCAACTGATTTTTGTATATCGATCTTGTACCCTACCACTTTTCTGAATCCTTCAATGAGTTCCAATAGTTTTCCTTCTGATTCTTTGTGATTTTCTAAGTGTAAGATCATATCATCTGCAAATAGAGGGAGTTTTACTTCTTTGCTGATTTGAATGCCTTTAATTTCCCTATCTTGCCTTATAGCTCTGGCTAAGACTTCCAACACAATATTGAATAGGAGCAGTGATAAAGGGCATCCTTTTCTAGTTCCAGTTTGCAAAGGGAATGCTTTCAGTGTCTCGCCACTGAGAGTAATTCTGACTGTTGGGTTTGAATATATGCTCTTAATTATGTTGAGGAATTGCCCTTCACTTCCTACTTTATTGAGTGTTTTTTTATCAAAAATGGATATTGGATTTTTTCAAATGCCTTTTGTGTATCAATCAATATAATTATGTGGTTCTTTTCCTTATTTATTTACATGCTGAATTATGTTGACTGTTTTTCTAATATTGAACCATCCTTGCACCCACAGTATGAATCCCTCTTGGTCACAATGTATTATATTTTGATATGTTGTTGAATTCTATTGACTAGGATTTTGTTGAGAATTTTTGCATCTGTGTTCATGAGGGCTATTGGTCTATAATTTTCTTCTTTAGTGATGTCCTTGCCTGGTTTTGGTATGAAGGTTACGCTTGCTTCATAAAATGAATTTGAAAATATTCCATCCTTTTCTATATTCTGGAATAGTTAGAGTAAGATTGGTGTCAGCTCTTCTCTGTTGTTTTGTAAAATTCACCAATCAAGTCTTCTGGGCCTGGACTTTTTTTGTTTGGGAGTTTTTTGGTAGCCTGATCAATTTCTTCTTTTGTTCTATGTTCAAGTTTTCTACTCCATTCTGTGTTAGTTTAGTTAGATCATGTTTTCTAAGTATGTATCCATTTCCTCTGGATTTTCAAATTTGTTGGAGTGAAGTTTTTCATAGTATTCTGTTATTATCATTTTTATTTCCATTGGTTCTGTTGTGACATCACCCTTATGGTATGTTATGCATGTTATTTATGTCTTCTTCCTCGTTTCCTTTATTAGCTTTGCCAACAGTTTGTAGATTTTATTAATTCTTTCAAAGAATCAGCTTCCTGTGTTGTTGATTCTATTGTTATTATTTTTGTTTTTTATTTCATTTATTTCTGTCTTTATTGCTACTTTTCTTCTAGTGAGTGTAGGCTTACTTTGCTGATTTTTGTCCAATTGTTGAAGATGTTGTGTCAATGTGTTGATTTTGGTTCTTTCTTCATTTTGGATGTGTGTGTTTATTGTTATAAATTGCCCTCTCAGCACTGCTTTTGCTGTGTCCCAAAGATTTTGGTATGTTGTGTTTTCCTTCTTAATTGTTTCTAAGAATTTTTTAATTTCACCTTTTATTTGTTCTACTGACCAGTTGTGTTTAT